AATGAATAAAAATCTTTAAAAAAAAAAAAAAAAAAAAAAAATCCATTGTATATTTCTATCCCACTAGCTGTTGGCCACCAGAGTTCAGGAGAGAAAAAAAACATTCAAATGACAGAGCTCACAAGGACTGCAGTTTTGTAGCTTGTGACTGTGAGAAGTGGTATGGGAATCAAAGAAATAAACGGCCTTGATTCTAGGGGAAATGTCTTGCAGAAATTCAAATTGTCTCTTTAACACAGTTTGGGTGAAGAGAACCCAAGATACATTAGAAACTGGCTGATGGTTTTTTATTCGACTTTCTTGGCCTGCCTTTTTTTCATCTCTGTCAGCTTGTGAGTTTTTAACATTTGATAACCTGCCACCGAGGTCAATGTTTGATGGTTAAAATGACAAATTATTTAACTTCTATGGAGAATGAAGACTTAATATGAATCCATAAAAGCTGATTAGTTTAATGCCTTGACTGGACTAATTGGAAATCATATCATTCATTACTCAGAGAAATTCTATGTTCAGGATAAGATTAAAAATAAAATATTAGTTCAGTAAACCACATAATATTTAGATACAATGAAGTTAAGCTAACACCAAACATAAAATTTATTCTCCAAAGTTATTTCCAAATTATAGGAAAGTAAATATTTTCTTTATATATCTATATGTTATGGTGCTAAGTGTGGATCTTAAAGTCTGCATTATGGCTCTGGTTGTTAGTTTTGACATTTGAAAAAACTCTGACCTTGTCTAGCTTCAGGGATTAAGTATAAGCTACCTTTTCTTAATAATAAAAAACAAAAACTGTAGGATAATAAGTTACTTCAAGTTTTATGAAATCAGCACTGTCTCCTCCTGAATATTAGAGACAATGCTAGGTATGGGGTAGGGGAGAGGTAGACAGGCCTAAAGAGGAATAGATATTGTAGAAGTATTTCCAAGGAAAGACTATAAAATCTATCTCTATTGTTTTCTATGATGTTTAGTATAGCATCCTATACAAAAAGTTGATTTAAATGAATTTAAATAGAATAACGAAGATTTTATAATTTACTGTAACAGATTAAAAGTAGGCCAAAGTCACTGTTAGTCAATATTTTTAACGACTAGACTAATTAAGCTATGTAATGGATTAGGATCAACTTCAAGTGTAGCAGTTCCAACCTGTGGATGTGTTCTCCCTGCCTTATACAACATTTTGGTCAAAACGGAGGTAAAATTCCCTTGTATCAGGTAAAATGTCCATTTCCTCTAAATCTTAGCCTAAGGACTGGTGAGATTAACTGTATAAGCATTAACAAGAAGAATTTAAAATAGTTTATAGGACGGGTGCCTGGGTGGCCGTCGTTAAGCATTTGCCTTCGGCTCAGGTCATGATCCTAGGGTGCTGGGATCGAGCCCCACATTGGGCTCCCTGCTCCGCAGGAAGCCTGCTTCTCCCTCTGCGGCTCCCCCTGCTTGTGTTCCCTCTCTTGCTGTGTCTCTGTCAAATAAATGAATAAAATTTTAATAAATAAATAAATAAATAAAATAGTTTATAGGAAACAAAGCATCAGAGAAAGCCTAAGTAGGAATTCCTGTAGACATTCCAGCCTCAAATAAGGAAGGGTAGGTGTCACTTGTCTTCCCTGTCCACTGTACCTCAGAGGCCCCCAGCTCCTTCAGACATTCTGGATCTCTGCTGCCCTAAGTCCATGCTGTCCTCATTGGTAAGGTTAATAGTCAGACACATAAGGAACACAGTTCCTGGTGGTGAAGCCGGATTCAAGATAAAGAAACTTGCTAAAGGAATAAGTTTAGTTTGAAATATGACTCTGGAAAAGTATGAATATTATGCTTCCATCTTTCCTAGAATGAAGATGTTCAAGAACCTGAAATGGCAGTATCTACACTGCATAATTTCTTGATAATACCTGAAATATGAAATTACACAACAATTACTTCTGTTCCTTAGTTTTCCTCCCTGCCTTCCTCCACAAGCATTTAGTAATACTCAATGATAAGCACTGTGCTGGATATGAGGATACAGAGATAAAAGATAGCTCCCGCTTAAGAAACTCAGTATCTAGGAATGACTCAGACATGTAAATAGATATAATAAAAACTGACCATTATGTACTAAAACAGAAGTGAAACAGGGTCTCATGAAAGTGTATAGTGCAGGCTAGAGTAGGACGATCAGCAGACCCCTTCAAGAAGAAGGGGCATCTGAGCTTGTTTTGAAGGGTGCGTAGCTAGCTACTAAGGAAGGAGGGAAAGGATGTTCCATGTAGAGGCGACGCTGGATGCAAAAGCATGGACAGCACATGGTCTTTCTGAGGACGTGCAGGTAATTGAGCATAGCTGGAGCAGTGTGGCAACAGTGTGCAAGGAGAGATGACACTGAGACAACAGGACAGGTGAGGTGTGCTGGCAATCGATTATGGAAATCCTTCCTCCCTGAGGACAACAAGGAGGGGCAGGAGCAGAGCTGTGTTTAGTGAGGTCACTATGGCAGCGTAGGGATGACAGGAGGGTACTGTGAAGGGAGACTGGAGGCTGAGAGCCTAATTTGGAGACATAAAGTAATCCAAATGAGAAGGAAATCCACATTCAACTGAATCACTGTCAAGCTCACACACAAAAGACCTGTCTCATGACAGCCTCTGAGGGAACATAGGGAAGCAAAAGAAAGGACCCACTCCATAGCATCTCTTCAAAAGCCTCCCATCCTTTCATTTTCCAGCAGGATCACAAGGCATTCCTTATGAATGAACCTTATGAACCACAGATTAGCTGTGGTTCAAGTCTTTGCCTACTGGCCTGTTTGGGTACATGCAAGGTCATCAGGGGGCCATGGCAGAACCATTTCCCCATACGCAGTAGTAGTGGCTTAGGAGGAAATAAAGAATTGAGAAGATTATTAAAGTAATAGAACAAACTGGTCAGTGGTTGGATGGGATGTCAAGAATAATGCCCAGGTGTCTGCCTGAAATAAATAGATGATGAAACATTCATGAAGATAAATTATGTGAGTGCTACAAAACAGGATCAGTTTGGAGATGAGGGACCAGGGAATGGTGAGATGATTTAATTTCAGTGTTGACATGTCAACTTAAGGTGTACTCTTGGGACACCCAGAGAGCAATAACAATAGGCAACTGGATATGTGATTTGGAAGCTTCTACGAGAGGTCTGGTCTGGACCTGCAGGGAGTTCCAGGCTGTAGGTAGTAAAAGCCACAAGAAAAATTGAGATCAAACAGGAGAGTATATTAGTAAAATGAGAAGAGGGCATTTGTAGTATAAAAAAAACATGGCTTTTAAGAATGAATGTTCTCAAATAACAAGAACCTTACAACTAGAGTCACTATAGGCAAAGATCTTGAAGAACACTATCCCTTTTCTTCTTGTGTCTGGATTGGCTTTTAATTGTCTGGAAAGATCAGGTTTACAAAAGGAGATTGGTCACTATGGAAACAGGCTATGTAATCAATATCAAACAGGCAGTTTCAACACAAAAAGATAATTAGTTTTTCCCTTAATTGTATGTTTTCATGGTTTTCAATAATCATATATGCTTTTGATCAGAAAGTTCTAGTCAGTTAATGACCTGGTGAGCAAAAGCAAAAACACTAGTCTATAGCTCTTTTCCCTGGGTTGCTTTCTATGAGGCATCCTAAACCCAGACATTTTGTGACTTCAATAACTCTCCATTTCATCAGGGTGTGCAATTCATCTAACTTCCACAGCCAGCCTAAAGCTAAATGAACAGTCACAAGGAAGGTATCTTTATTTTTTCCTTCATGGCCAAAACTTTTTAGTTAAGGGCACGTATTGAATGGAGCACTGGGTGTTATATGCAAACAATGAATCATGGAACACTACATCAAAAACTAATGATGTAATATATGGTGATTAACATAAGATAATAAAATAAAATTTAATATATATATATATACCTAAAAAAAAGAACATATTAATTTCATGTTAATTGTCAACTGTTAGTCTAGGCCACAGTTAAAAGTCTAAAACTGTATCAGAAAAAAGAAAAACACACACACAAAACTTAAACATGCAAATTCATACAATGTAAGTCTCTTCTTTAGTTCATTATTCTACATTTTTAAACTCAGGATACATTCTTACTTAAATAATTGTTACTTTACTAACCTTATCCAAAAAAGCTTGTATCAATGCTTCCCGGTTTGCTATATATGCGATGTATCTATGCCTCCCAATGGAAGCAATTATCTGGGTCTCTTTTTCCAGAAGTTCACACAAAGCAGCTTTCCTTTCAGCTCCAGTGAAAGACTGGTTAATGCGTGCAAATTCTTCTTGCTGCCAGACTAGAGGAATAACATGAATCACTCTTGAGTTTTTAAAATCCCACACCTTTTCAGAAAATTTTTTACCATCGTATCCTGACAAACAGTATTTTATGTCAATTTAAATAAAATTATACACGAATATAAGCATTCATACTGTACACCTGACGTATGAAAAAATAGGATAAAATGGAAGCTGAGAAACTTAAAGCAATAAAATTAGAGTCAAACAAAGAGAAGCCAAAGGAAATCAGCTCAGGTAATGTCAAATTATGCATCCAAGTAAGCACGTGCTCTCCCCAGGATTGAAAAATATATGGTTTGGGTTTTCAGCAGCCACGAACACGTACTATTTAGACCCCCCTTCAAGAGAATACCTGCTTTTGCTACGTAAGCAAAATAAGGCAGTCAGAGAAAGACAAATACCATATGATCTCACTCATATGTGGAATTTAAGAAACAAAACAAATGAATAAAGGGGAAAAAAAAAAAGCGGGGGGGGGGCGGCAAACCAAGAAACTGACTCTAGAGAACAAACTGATGGTTACCAGAGAGGAGGTGTGTGGGAGGAGAGGGAAACAGGTGATGGGGATTATACACTTATTGCTGGCTCATTTGGTGGAGGCTGCAACTCTTGATCTTGGGGTTGTGAGTTTGAGTCCCACCTTGGGTGTAGGGCTTACTCAAAAAAAAAAAAAAGAAAGAAAAAGGAGTACACTTATGATGAAAAAAATAAAACAAAATGATAAAAAAAAAAGAATAACTTCTCTCAGGAAGATACCCCCCCAAAGAAGATACACAGAGGGTAACATGTTATTTCCTTCCCGTGTGTGTGTGTGTGTGTATATACATAAATGTGGTTAATATTTTGATATATATATATTTCCCATATATATATAAATGTGTTAACTATTTTGATATATGTGAAAATACCTATCACTGAATTGATTTTTACCTTTCCAGCTAAATTACCCTGTCAGATGACTCAAAGTTCTTAGTTTTAAAAATAATGATTATTGTTTTTTTTAAAGATTTATTTTAGGGGCACCTGGGTGGCTCAGTTGGTTGAGCAGCTGATTCTTGATTTCGGCTCAGGTCATGATCTCAGGGTCCTGGGATCAAGCCCCACGAGGGGCTCTGTGCTCAGCCAGGAGTCTGCTTGAGATTCTCTCTCTCCCTCTGCCTTCCCCCTCCCTGCTGCCCCCCACCCCCCCGCTCATGCTCTCTCTCAAACAAATAGTTGTTTCTGGTCTTCTTCTGTTATAACCACTGCCTTTGATGATATCTAGTTTTAAAGTTTTATCAAACTCTTTCTCTTCCTCTCAACTTTCAATTTGAAATCATCCTGATCAGGCCAAGGACATGCCAGTGATATTTTTTATAAGAATCCACTCTGTCCCTTACTGGGAATACACTATTCAGACACTGCACAGGTTTGTCTGTTCAAAAAGAAGATTTTTAAATTTAAAAGCTAAATTGTCTTCAGCAAAAGGGTTGTAAATTTAAGGGCTAAATTATGTTATGAAAGTCCAGGAAATCTATGATTGATGAGTTTATCCTTTAAGAGTAGTTCTCCCGGCAAGATGGCGGAGGAGTAGGAGACCTGGATTTCGTCTCCTCTCAGGAATTCAGCTGGATAGGGATCAAACCATTCTGAACACCTACAAACTCAACA